ACGTGTGCTCCGCGCCCCATGCCTTCTCCTTCCCGCGCAGCGCCCGCAAGTACATCTCCTCCGCCTCCGCCAGCTTGCCTTGAATCTTGTACAGACTGCCGAGATTGTTGACCGTGTCCAGCGTCGACGTGTGCTCCGCGCCCCATGCCTTCTCATACCCGCGCAGCGCTCGCTGGTACAGGTTCTCCACTTCTCTAGACTTCTCCCAATCGCTGAGAAAGCTTGCAATTTGATGACATTGTCCAGCTTGATCCTCATTATTCAACAGCAACATCGATTCCTTCGCGCCGATCGCTTGAGCATGTGCTGCTAGTCGCACTCTAATCTCCTTGGCAACCCCTTGACCGACCGATGTTGCCATCTTCGCGACAAGCCTCAGTGCCGTCGCTAATAGTTGTTGTGTTGTGGATGTGTCCAGGCTGTGCAGACACCATGTATGTACTACCGGATGTATCGCGGGTGATTGTTCCGCGGTGCTCTTATTAACCATCGAGTACTGGACGAGCGTTCCGATCGAGTGCTGCAAGGAGAGCTTCGTCGCCGGCCCGAGGCCTACATCTTCGCAAGCACCGTGCTGGACCTCATCGCTCTGCCCACCAAGCACCAGCTCCGCCCACACGTCGCCGTGATCGAGGAATGCCCAGAGATCAAGCAGCCAGGCTGCGAGGGGATCCATGCTTTTCACCTGCTCGTATGAAATCTGCCATGTCGTAAGCACGCTCCGTTCTCCGTATTCTTGCAGCGGAAACTGGTCTTGGTTCTGCATCAGCGCGGTCCACGTCGCATCGTAATGCTCGAGATAGTCCGCAACGCTCATCCCAGTCGTGCCTAGGTATGCACCCGCTTGGGCGAGGGCAAGCGGGAGACCGCCGAGCTTGGGCAGTAGTTGCTCGACGTCTGTTTGTGTGTTTGTTTGTATGTCAGCGATCGTATTCCCCTTGCGGTGGTATCACACGCACGTACTCGTCACCACTTTGTTTGCGCGTGTCTCGACCATCTGTCGCCAGCTGATCGTCGGCGGCATCTAAATGAAGGCTAGCGTTGGGTCGTTGCAGCCGTTGGAGTCGTGTCGTGATCAAGACGTTCCCGTGATTGGCATGCGGCAGGAAGTCACGGTAGTTGTATGCCTGAGCGTCCTTCATTGTGCCCTGCCAGTCGCGGTCGATGTTGTCGATCACTATCAACCAGTCCGTGTTGCCCGGGAGTGACAGCCATTGCTGGAAGTCAGCCATCAACTGTGCGACATCCGTCTTTGCCGTCGCGTCTTGTGCACGCGTCGACAACCGCGCGCCGGCGCTCGCCATTGATCGTTGCAGAGCATCTTTGGACGATCCGTCGAGCCAGAACACCGCGCTGAACCGCTCTGCGCTCGTCTTGGCGAATTGGGCGCACAGCTGTGTCTTGCCCATCCCGCCTGTCCCGTGTACGACAAATACCCGCTGCTGCGCCGACCGCGTCGATGTCGTTGCGAAAAACTCGGTGAGACGCTGCATCTCGGGTTTGCGAGGCACGAAATGCTCCGTCGCCGGGATGCCTTGCAGGCTGAAAGGGAGGGAGAAATCATAAGGTGCTGCTACATCTTCACCGATCAATAGGCATCATAAGAGCCGTTTGTAGCATAACCTTTCCACATACCTGTCGCTTCTTGCGCGAGGCGGATCTTTGCAACTTCGGTGGCGGGCGTCCACAGCAGCAGCTCCCGTGCGTATGCTGCCGCTGTCGCTGCTGCATACGGCTGCCACCGCTTGTTCTTGTGCGAATCGGCGTAGTCGCATATCCCACGAATCACAACACACGGAAACGAGTCCATCAGACCCGCCGCTTCCATCTCGAAGCAGATCACGCCCTCCTTCTGCGCAATCCGATCACGCGTGCGTCCGTCCTTCATAACTTCGTTACCCGAGGCGATATTGCCATAATGCAGGCGTGGACGACAGCTCTGGCGTGCTTCCCGCTCCACCACGCGCGAGCGAGCGCACTGCCTACATGTGTTGCCGCGGTCGTGGTCATAACTAGCTTCGAAAAGTTCGTCATTGTCGTCGCCCTGGTGTACGAACGCCTCCATCGCGGGATACTTGGACAGCATCTCCGCAAGATGTTTCTCCAGCATATGACCCTGTAGGAAGTGTTCCGCCTGCAAGCCTTGCACAGCGTTCAGGAGCTCACGCGGGGGCTTGCTCAGCATCCCCGTCCGTCGAAAGATTCCACCGGCCTCGATTTTGCCGAAATCCCACTGCACTACTCCGCCATGCTGGCCGTTCGGTTGGCTCACGACCACATCTCCGAGCCGCACGTCTACCTCTTCGCTCCACACCCCACCTGCGATGCCCACCATCAGACCGATGCGGATCGGAAAGCTGCGAGTCATGTCGCGGGCCACCACCGCAGCAGACACCGTGCCGGTCGTGCCCGCCGGGAGGCAAGCGATGACCACTCCATGCGCACCGATCGTCCCGAAAGCATAGTCGTTCTCGTCGCCTGAAGCAGGCGGCAAGCGCTCGTGCTTGTTGTCAAGCATGGCGACAGCTGCAGCTTTCTCAATCGCTAGCGCGCAAACAATGCCGACGCTGTACGCCCCGCGATCATGGACAGCGTTCAGCGACATGGTGATGGGCGCAATCAAAATGGTCAAAGAAAATACAAAGTGAAGGGGAACGATGAGCAGTCATGTCGTAGTCCGCGTCTGAAAGAGAGCAGCAGAGCCGCTCGCATGTAGCATGATGAGGAGTGTGCGGCTGACCGGTGTGAGACTACTTGTGTCTCATGCATGGCGTCGGCACAGCCCCGCCAGACTCGCGATCCAGGCGACGAAATGCAATGCGAACGCCGTCCAAAGAGACCACTCCTGTGGGTCATGCAATGCCCGGCGCTTAGGCAGCGGATACCGCCGCCACTACGATCGGCAGCTCTATGACGGTGAATCGGCTCGAGTCTGAATGTATCACGCTGCAAGCTAATTTCAGCACATTCCTATCACTCACCTTGTTCACCTGGATACACAGTATCCTCTGACATCACCATCACTGCATGATTACCGATATGACCGATCGAGCGACACAAGTCCTTGATGGACTTCAATCTGGCAGCGCCATCACCTCATTGCAACATGCGGCAGAGACCAGCGGTGTACCTCGCACAACGCTCCAGCATCGTGCGCGTGGCCGACGTTCGCTTCTCGAAAAGGCTCAAAGCCAGCAGTATCTACGGTCTTCCCAGGAGATCGCTTCGGTGCGATTTTTGCTGCAGCAGGACGCGCTCGGCCATAAGTTAGATCTGCGTTTGCTCAGGCATATTTTGACCTCCGAGATGAATCCGTCAAGGACAGGTGCACGCAGAAGATGAGCCGCTAGTGCACAACGCGTGTAATAATGCCAAAGCAGAACACATGGCCAGGAAAAGATGTTGTCGTTACGCCGAAAGGGCTCAAAGCTGTGTTTAAAAATGGACTGAGCGCGCGTAAGGCCATCCTTGAATGGATTGGAGAAACGTGCAATTCAGGAGTGTCACAAGCAGCGACCGGTTGCAGATTTACGCCATCGAGCAAACGCAGATCTAACTTAGCGAGAGCAATGATGTAAATTTCTTTGAGAAAGCGGCCGCAGGCGTGTTTGATTAGCACCTGTGTATGGCAGTGCGGGGGGCATTTGCGATTGCGCGGAATCACACAAGAACAAAGGCTGGTAAATCAGGATTTCGCATCAGCAAAGGAGGCCGCATGCGCCAAGCGGCTGCTTGCATCTGGCCCCGATCATGGTGAATGAGGTCGCCAGGATCTCGCACAAACGTTTGAACACATCACACACCAATAAGCTTGAGCACTGGTCACGGTGTTTAAGCCGGGATCGTCACAAATCGTGGTGGCTCCCACGTGGAAAGTGCATGACTCCTGCCGTAAGAAGACTTGTTTGGTATGTAGCAGCAATAGGGCATGACCATCAATGAAACATGTGTCGTCACTTTGCACAACTAGGTGATTGCATGAAAGAGTCGATTGCCGGAAACACGTCCATTCCATATGCTGCGATAAGGGCACACCTAACCCGTTCCGCAAAGAGCAGGTGCAATCGCGCCAACAATGACTTCGTGTAACAACTCGTTCTTTGTTGCACCACAGTATCACGAGCTGACAGTTGCGCGAATCAACGATGCCCACAGTGCACAAACTGTAGATAAATTGAATGATACGCATCGTCGCCCGGTAGTTGTTTCCACGAAACGTGCAGAAGACGAGTCGAAATCACAACATCATCCTCCAAAACGCTCGAATCAAATCAGTCAACACTGCACTCACTAAGTTATAGGGGGACCCTCTCCACAGTCTTATCCGAAATGGAAGTGCTCAGCCAAAGCCTCAGCATGGCGGTGAGCATCCTGACCATCATTGCAGCCCTATTCGCGCTTGTCAAGGAAGTTGTCCAGCCCAATGATTCGATTCACCAGTACGTCGTGGAGCAACTGTGTGGCAGCAATGAGCTAACCGATGTATAAAGTTGAGGGCTCATCGTGAAGCTGGTCAACAGCGACCATGTTGGAAGCTAATAGCACCTGCATGGTGCAGGAAGCGAATGTGATGAAGAACTTGGCAAGCGGTCACTCGTCGAACATTTCAGACTGGAGGATAGGGCTCCCTTGAGACCGACCCTAACATCCATCAACCCTAAATTATGTGCGCATCTACCACCGCCATCATCCATACACCCTGCACACTACCGTGAGGTCGGACAAGATGGCCCATCTATTGTGTCGACTTTAACGATTGAATAATCCATCAGTTCTCTCCTCCAATCGATAATAGATTGCATACCGAGAAGGGGAAATGAGCGAAGGATATGCTTTGAGAGGCATGCATGAAATACGAGACCTATTAACACCTATTTTGCGTGTAAATATTTCCCAACAAGTAGCTGATCAGCAGCGTGAGGTCAGTGGACCAGATTTGATGTCGCTAGTCGCAAGCGGATAGATTGTGAGCCCGCAAAGCACAGTTCGCCGATCCATGATTACCACATTCTGGTAGTTAGCGCTTGATACTCCTTATGTGCATGAGCCTGCATTTCTGCGTATCCTTCTTATACGCTTACTAAATTGGTATCAGTCTGAACCATATTCGAAGATTTACTGATGGCTCTGTGATCTGCAGGATATCTCAGAAGTGATCGTTAGGAAGTCAGTCTCAAGAAGTGAAAAGTAGCAAAGCGCCAGCCTCGATGAGCGAGCACGTACAAGTGAGGCTCTGACATCTAGTGTCTAAAAATAGGCTTTTCACAGAAATCATTACCCTAACTCAGATGTCGATTCCTGAATCCCGTTTCGACGATTCGCGCATTGTCCCTGGCGTCGCTCATCTCGAGCGAGACAAGTTGCGACGCTAGCTGCCATAACAGTCTGTGTCACTGCAATTCGTAGGATATGATTCCAGAAATGAAGACGGGCACCAGTGGGTGCACACGTTTTTCCGGGGCGTACACCGGATTGTAAATGTGGCGTGCCATGTTGTTCCTGGCGGCACGGCAAAATGAAGTTTTACTGAGCCTCGGCGTATTGCGGTCACGGCTAGGGCACATGCCGTGCTGTACGACACAATATTTACCGAAAAATGATCACGTGCTTGTGTGATGCATGGGCTTCTGGGATGAGTTTGATCCCGCAACCAGAGACTCGATTTGTCACAGATCACCATTATGACAGCTCACTTCTACACTTCCCGCAGAACCACTCTTCCACTCGTTTCCTCGCCTCCGACGTGCAGACGACGCCGATGATGCCACCACCATCATCACCACGATACGAGTGTGATCATCGTTAAAGGTATAGAGACCATCCAAAATATCCAAAAGTCTGACGAGGGAATGAGCGTCCCATTACGTCGGTGCAGGGCTGAGTGAAAAGAACAGTGTTTACCATCTCGAGCGTGCTCAGCTCTCCCGTCAGGTATTAGAGGAGTAACTAGTCCCGAGAACGTTCGGAATCAAAGGTCGACGGCAGAAATGCCTGAGAGCAGCAATTACCTTCATTTCTGCCGCTGGTCACAGTACGTGAGGACGACACATCACTGCAATGTCCTAGACAAATGAGCACGTCGCACATAATTATGGGACCGATAAAAGTTCACTTTGATACGCGCGATGATAGTTCCCCTTAAATACTCGGTATGAAATGACATCACCATCCTTCAAGCATGGAAACCAAATACACAGCAGAATCCTCTGTCACTGCCCCGCCCGGACAACCTGCGACTCCATGGAGAAGGCATAGCTTGGGAACCCATATGCACAAGCCGTTCCTGGGATAGGCTACCTTCAGCTTCGGCCGAGCCATTATGTACATCCATCTGCACGGTTGCTGATGCACACATCTGCTCCATTCAGAATGCCTCGAGCCTCGGCGCTGGTTCTGTCGAAATTCACGACACTTGCTGCGTCCTCAAGGAAGTTCTGTCCATCGTCGTGGTCGAAGGTCTGTACACTAGACCAAGAAAGACAAGCGTTCGTACCATCGTTGAAAGTGTTACAAAAGGACCGCGGTGAACTCGGAAACTGGTAGGATGGGTTGATGCCCAAGGTAGTGTATAAAGCTTGGACTGCATTATTCGAAGGCACATGGCTAGAAGACTGCTCCCAATTCCAGCGGCTCCGCTTGGAAAGATCCAGCTCGGCCATGTCGGCCCTGCGCTCGACAGTGTGGTGCCCGTGAGCCTGGCAGCTTGCCACGTTGGACGCCATCAGCTCACCAAGCTCCAGGCACTTCCAGGCAGCGTCGGCCGCCTGCTCGTTGCTCAGCGTGCCGGCCATGGTGGCATTCAAGAACGCGGTGACAATGTCGTCCTCGGTGCCGACTGCCATAGTTTTGGCGTACTGGTCGACTGCGTCGGCAGCGGAGGCGGACGGCGAGTAAAGGTAGTAGTCGAAGCGAGTGGCATCTTGTCCAAAGATGGTCGGGGAGACGTTCGACAGCCAGAGAAAGGTGCCGGCTGCATTGGGGTCCGCAGCGTACAGAGAGCTGGTCGCGACTGTCGGCAGAGCAAGGGCGAGCGATGCAGATCCGAAGAAGGCAAGACCGCCTGCGAGGGTAGAGAAGCTAGGGGCCATGGTGAGGCGTGAGAATCGAGATGCTCGGATAGATCTGTTACAGAATCGAGAAGAGGGTGGAAGTGATAATGAAGCTGTGGAATGAAACTGCTGCGATGGTGCACATGACAAAACCTGGGCGACGTCTGCCATTATATACCTTCGACCTGCGGTATCGACTTCGACACCGCGCAGCTGCGGCTCTGTCTCTGCCTCTCGAGGTGTTGACGATCGACATGAAAAGGCAACGCGCTCCCGAACGCCGCACGGTGTGAGCGTGGGCTGCGACGCCGTCGCACGAGTCGGATGGAGGCTGCCACATCGCTCACAGATGCTGGGCCCGATAACACGATCCCGCCGGGCGCTGCTGTTGGTATGACCTCAGTCGCGCGCTGTGCCGTCGTACGACGTGGGCGGAGGCTGCATCGTTTCGTCGGCATGCCAGTCTCCCGCTGCGCCGCTGTGGAGCCCGGCGGACGATCTTCTCCCGCGCAACTATTGCAAGAGCCCCGGCCTCACGCTGCGCGGTCGCACGAGTCGGATGGAGGCTGCCACATCGCTCACAGATGCTGTGCCGCAGTGGGGCCTGACAACACGATCCCGCCGGGCGCTGCTGTTGGTATGACCTCATTCGCGCGCTGTGCCGTCGCACGACGTGGGCAGAGGCTGCACCGTTTCATCGTCGTTATGTCAATGTGACGAGCTCTGATAGGACATGCAAGAGGAATAGTGTCTATTCTCCGATAGACGAAAGAAATACTATGTCAATTGCAAGCTTGCCAAGGATTTCGTCACGCGACCGTGTCTGGTCTGCCATCGATCAACTAAGAATTAATCCGACCATTCTAGGTATAGCTTAAAGTTGTCATCAGCCCCACTGCTACGAGCAATCTAAAGAACACTGAAATGCATACGCGTAATGTTCTTCCTTCCTTCCTCCGTTTTACCCTTCGTACATACGCGCACGAAGACAACTGACGCGACTCCCATCAAACACACAACAAACACGACGAGAATGCCTACACCCAAGCAAAACCTTCTATGGCATACTTGCACTGGGCTTTGCACTGGCATTGTTGTAACGATCTATCACGAAAACAAGCATCCCAAGCCTGACACTCAATCTCCTCCTAACACGACAGGTGAATCAGGGTATGGCTTAAATGCTCAACGATTGTGCACAGCAGAGCTAATGTCGGCAGCGGTAAATCAACTGGGCCTAAGTCAAGCACAAAGTCCTGATCTCACAATGGCTCATCTGTGTCTTTCTTCGCGGACTCTCATTGTGTGATGATTGTCAAGGTCGATGTAAATCTTTACTTGTGGAGAAGAAGGAAAGGGAGGTAGCCTACGGCGGTATTCAAGATACAAGCTCATGTAATGACTGCGCTCTGAATTCTCTCCACTGAACATTGAAATGCGGCCATGTCTCTCCCCCTCGAACATAGCTACAATCAGATAAAAACCTAATGACCTAGGTTTCGACCACGCTACTCAGCTGTGATTTGCCGTACGACGGCACAGCGCGCGACTGAGGTCATACCAACAGCAGCGCCCGGCGGGATCGTGTTGTCAGGCCCCACTGCGGCACAGCATCTGTGAGCGATGTGGCAGCCTCCATCCGACTCGTGCGACCGCGCAGCGTGAGGCCGGGGCTCTTGCAATAGTTGCGCGGGAGAAGATCGTCCGCCGGGCTCCACAGCGGCGCAGCGGGAGACTGGCATGCCGACGAAACGATGCAGCCTCCGCCCACGTCGTACGACGGCACAGCGCGCGACTGAGGTCATACCAACAGCAGCGCCCGGCGGGATCGTGTTATCGGGCCCAGCATCTGTGAGCGATGTGGCAGCCTCCATCCGACTCGTGCGACGGCGTCGCAGCCCACGCTCACACCGTGCGGCGTTCGGGAGCGCGTTGCCTTTTCATGTCGATCGTCAACACCTCGAGAGGCAGAGACAGAGCCGCAGCTGCGCGGTGTCGAAGTCGATACCGCAGGTCGAAGGTATATAATGGCAGACGTCGCCCAGGTTTTGTCATGTGCACCATCGCAGCAGTTTCATTCCACAGCTTCATTATCACTTCCACCCTCTTCTCGATTCTGTAACAGATCTATCCGAGCATCTCGATTCTCACGCCTCACCATGGCCCCTAGCTTCTCTACCCTCGCAGGCGGTCTTGCCTTCTTCGGATCTGCATCGCTCGCCCTTGCTCTGCCGACAGTCGCGACCAGCTCTCTGTACGCTGCGGACCCCAATGCAGCCGGCACCTTTCTCTGGCTGTCGAACGTCTCCCCGACCATCTTTGGACAAGATGCCACTCGCTTCGACTACTACCTTTACTCGCCGTCCGCCTCCGCTGCCGACGCAGTCGACCAGTACGCCAAAACTATGGCAGTCGGCACCGAGGACGACATTGTCACCGCGTTCTTGAATGCCACCATGGCCGGCACGCTGAGCAACGAGCAGGCGGCCGACGCTGCCTGGAAGTGCCTGGAGCTTGGTGAGCTGATGGCGTCCAACGTGGCAAGCTGCCAGGCTCACGGGCACCACACTGTCGAGCGCAGGGCCGACATGGCCGAGCTGGATCTTTCCAAGCGGAGCCGCTGGAATTGGCTTCAAAGCGGGTCTCATGTCGCAAGTAACTTTGCAATGAACGCTCTTGCTGGAGTGCTGGGAAATGCAATTTATGTGAATCTTCCGGATTCTCCACGATCCTTTTGCAACAATGCGAACGGAGTCGTTGCATGTATTTCCTGGTCCATGGTGGAGTCCTTTACCCGTGGATATGCTCAACAGATGGTGCAAGATGCTCTGAGCACTGTGGATTTCAACGCTAACAGCGCTCAAGCAAATGGTATTCTTGGCAGCAAGAAACGTTCTGGAGCTGATGTTTGCTTGAGCAACCGTGCTAATGGTTGTACCTAAGCCGAAATTCGGCCGGCTCATGCTGAACATGTGTTGGACGGAAGTTCGATATGGACTTTTTAAGCATGGCTAGTCATATCTTGCAAGTACTGGTAGATAGACTGTTTCGGATAAGTGCACCGTTCTACACATGTTTTCAACATCCACAGAATGTCACTCGATTAGCGACTCTAGACTCTCATTGAAAATCAAGTGTCAACTCACGGTGTCTATATTCGCATAGCTTGCTGAACAAACTGTCCTTGTTTCTGCGAATGTCCTGAGGTAATCGCCGTAAATTTGGCATGATGCATGAACTCCGGGATTGTTGATTTCATGGTCTAGCTGTCTCGAGGAGACTGGACATCCAACTCGTGACCGCTTGTCCCCAAACCATGGACCTGCCAATAGATGTCCTCCAATCTTAAGCTCCACTTCGTATCAACCACGATGCACCCTGACTTGAAATGTCCGTGACGCTTGATCAGATCTAGGTCGCTTGAAATAAAGCGAACGACATCGTATCTAATTCTTATAAGTCAAACTTGAAGAAACTCATGGACTGCATTCCGACTGTAATCCTGCGCAATTTGCGTGCTAGCAACGTTACAGCATCGCCTCGTTCACACCCGATCGATGTCGATGATGCCGTGCGCTTCGACATGCTGACGTGCCAACCCTCTGTCGCGCGACGTGATGATCATCGCACCATGCGGACATGTCAGGATGCAGTAAATGAGTCTCCACGACCACATACCACGCCGCGTGTTTTGCGATTTTATATGCGTCATGGCGAGTATATGTCCGCTCTGTCAACCGCTTCTCGCTCCTGGACCAAAGCGTGTCGCCTACGAATCGGGAGCTTTTTCCCATACTCATCGTGGCGTCTCTTCGAAGCAGTCACCCTATATGCAGGCTTTGCCAATCAGCAGAAAACTAAATTTATGCATGGAGTATTGCTGCTTCTCATATGTCATTCTGGCCACGATGCGAACACAGCTCCTTGGAGCCATTGAGCTTGCGCATGCGGACTGGATCGATATGCCTAGGGATGTCAAGGATGAAAAAAGAAGACGAAAACGAACGCGAGCAACACGACGACCTAGGCGAGGCGCATGACGGGCTCGATAGAGATGCCTGCGATCACGAGGATGATCACGATGTCGATTGCATCGCTCAACACAATCAACAATCTCGGCGCTCTGTACTCCAACAAAGGCAAGATGGCGGAGGCGGGAGAGATGTTACTACGGGCGCTGCGTGGCAAGGAGAAGGCACGGGGCCTGGAGCACACGCCGACGCTGAATACAATCAACAATCTTGGCAATCTGTACAAGGCCCAAGGCAAGATGGCGGAGGCGGAGAAGATGTACTTGCGGGCGCTGCGCGGGTACGAGAAGCTGTCATGGGTCCCGCCGGGCCGTACAGAATCCGTGAACAGTCCCTATCATCGTTGCGCCAACGATCAAACCGCCCTTACAACGAGCAAGCAAGCGGGAGCATCTCACACGTAGACAACCACTGTGCGATACCGTCGAAGATGTCTGCGAATAGAGGGGGTTAGAGTGAATCCTGGAGCATTCAGTAACGTCCCTCCCCGCGTTGCGAGCCACCCTGTGTAACGAGCCAGCTTTGGAGATTTTCATCAATAACATTCGGCAATACAGACATATATCTGCTTAATCATATCTGAGTTATAGAGCACAGCAACAGCATTTCAACAACCATTCCGCGTTGAAATTGGGTTTGTCTTGCGAGCACCGTGGTGGACTCCGTTCACGTACAGAATCCGCGCTCCTATGTTAATCGCCATGTCTGGATGCAAATGCGACCAATACGCAAATTTTCCGATCTCTACAGATTGCCCAGAGTGCACTCTTTCAACGGCCTCAGTCTTGCTCTGTTCAGACTGATAGTGCGTGATCCCGAGCACTGCCGTCGTAGCAGCTCAGATCGACTTCAGGATCCGGACCCGATTCGGCATTGCTGACTCAGGATTATGTCCGTCGCAAGGTGGCCTCCGCCACATCTTCTCGCCGTCAAGCCACGTCCACATGCGCAATGTGTGGTACACGACCAAGTCCACAGAACTTGTACACGATTGGGAACAATAACTCATATACGCAGTTGGCTTACGCAATCTCGAATCGAGCTAGGGAGCGATTCTCACTGTGGCGAGAATCGCGATAAAGCAGCCGCTCCTGAAGGCCGTAGATGATGCTAACATGCAGCCTATTGAGCATACATGTCGCTCGATCGGTCAACTCATCGGTCGTACAGCCAAGGCGACATCATAAGAAAAATGCAAGTCCCGAGCACACGTGAACTAGGGTAAGCGATCGGGATGTACTAAAATTAGCTTGCAGGGAAACCTTATCGTGAAGTCGACCGGTGAGTAACGCCCCAAGTCCAGGCCGTCTTTTCTGCATAAGCGCCGTCCGCGCAACCCCGCTGGTGCAGCCTCTCCTACCGATATCAACCCTGCATATCATCGCAGCCCGCATCTCATCACACATCACCACCGACTTTGCCGCGCTCCTTTTTACATTCACGACAATGTCTACCGTGAAATCAAGCGGGATTCGGGAAGACTGACCCAGCAATGAGTCCTACCGGCGCACGCATCCGTCTCCTCCAGTGCCTGCCGGGCGGGGAAATTCAGCGTGACCCTCCAGCTGCAACCCAAACCCTTATTTTCCCCTGCGGATACTGCCGGCGTCCAGACAGCCAATCAAAAGCTAGTAACCCCGACGTCACCTCACAGCTGACCTCCGAGTTACTCTAGAGACACGCGAAAAAGAACGCTATTCTACTCATTATTATGGCCTCAATCATTAGTGACGACTTGTCAGACCCACCGTCTACATCAAATCTCTCGATACCTACCGCAATCCAACGATCCAGCGACTTTCAGTCGAACACGGGCGCAAATAGTAACGATACCTCTGTACACTCTTGGGAATACGACGGTTTCAATCTACGATACCTCTCGAGAGAGTACGACGTCGACAACGTTGGCGAAAAGAAATCGTTCATCTATGAGCATGGCTCGAGATTCATTAAGAAGAGCGATCAACAAGCCTACTAGCTATGCCGATATTGTCACCAGAGCAAGCCGATGAAGTTCTCGGCGTTCACTGTCGCTGGGGCCACGACGGCAGCCCTTAAACACCTTCGTAAAGAACACCGCGTCGAGAATCCATCGAAAAAGAGGCGGACTGCGGATAGAGATAGCTGCGATGAGCATGATTTACCATCATCTTCGATTGAGACTTGGTTCTTATCAAAGAACATAGCACGTGGCGCTTTCGACAAGGATGTCTTCTCAGCTTTACTATACCGCTGGATAATTACAGATGACATTGCTTTCCTCAAAGTCGAGAGCGCGGAGCTTCGTGCGCTGTTAGAATACTGTCTACCTATAGCAGCAGCTTCTCTCCCCTCTCGTAAGATAGTAGGCAGGAACATTAAGGCGCTTCACAAACAGAGTCTTGTGACTGTCATAGAGGCTTTAAGGAGCGCGCTCTCGAAGATCAGCTTCAGTTTTGACTTGTGGACGTCGCCGAACAACAGGTCTATGCTCGGTGTCGTATCTCACTTCGTTGACGCTGGAGGAAAAGTCCGCAGTGTCCGCCTCGCT